GCCTATGAGTGGCGCATCGTCTCTTACGCCATGCATGCACAGGCCAAGCTTGATGCGCGCGATGCTGGCCAGCTGCTCTTTTACGTCCCAGCAATCGACAGACCAGCTGCGCGCCTCGCGAAGCCTGATTTCGACGAGATGCGCGCGGAGCCCAACATCGGCGCTACCGCAAAAATGCCGGGGCTGCTGCCGCTCTTCGTTGGCATGGAGGTCATCCTGACAGAATCCGTCTTGCCGCCGAAGTATGTCCGTGGCGCGCCAGGCAAAGTGGTAGGCATAGAGCTGCACGCTCTGGAGCCTCCGGTGGAGGGCCGCCCGTCCATTGTCTCGGACGGTGTGGTCGTACTCTACTACATGCCAAAGGCCGTCTATGTCAAGATCGATGACAGCGATGAACTTTTCTTGAAGGCCGCGCCGGTGACAGCTGGCAGTGCTTCTCAGCCTGCCGGCCCCGACCTGCGCGGAGTGCTCGCGATCACCCCGCAGGCGCGCCCCTGGAAGTTCAAAGCGAAGACAGGTGGCCCGGCCATCGCGGTGTCCAGGACGCAGTTGACCGTGCTGCCCAAAAAGCAGGGGACTCTGCATGGCGTCCAGGGCAAGACGACGGACCCAGGCTTCATCGTGCACTGGACGTTTCCGCCAGGACTCAAGAAGGAGTCCATTTGGCTTGCCTACTACGTCAGCCTGTCGCGCCCCAGAAGCTTCAACCAACTCTTGAGCCACGGCTTGCCTGACCGGAGCATCATCGAATCCGGCCCCCCGGAACAGATCGCCAAGGCCTTCGCCGAGCTCTTCACGGACAAGATTGCCGCGACGAAGATCGCTTGCGCGAAGGCCCGACAGCAACTGGGATGGCCTGCGCGAGCTTGAGGAGCCATGAGATGCAGCTTGCGTTGTGGCGGTGCTGTTCAGTCTGTCCGTCTGCATTCGCGTGGTGCTTCTCAGCCTGCGTGCGCGTGGTGCTTCTCAGCCTGCACTCGTGTGCAGCTGTGCGCGGTGAGCCTGCACGTGTCGTGCAATGCTTTTCAGCCTGCGCGTGTCTGCAATGCTTTTCAGCCTGCACGCTTTGCAGCTTCTCCGCTTCGCACGCCGCTCCTCAGCGCGGTCCTCTGAAAAAAGGACGGTCATCATCTCATCGTCGCACTCATCATCGCACTCATCATCATCATTCATTGCCAGCGTTGATAGCAGTGTCTCGTTTTTACACGACTCCCACTATTGATAGCAGTGTCTCGTTTGGACACACTTCCAGCGTTGATAGCAGTGTCTCCTTTTTACACGACTCCCAGAATTCACAGCAAAGTTTCGTTTTGACACACTGCGAGCGTTGATAGCAGTGTCTGCTTTTTACACGACTGTCACTATTGATAGCAGTGTCTCGTTTTGACACACTTCCAGCGTTGATAGCAGTGTCTCCTTTTTACACGACTCCCAAAATTCACTGCAAAGTTTCGTTTTGACACACTGCCAGCGTTGATAGCAGTGTCTCCTTTTCACACGACTCCCAGAATTCACAGCAAAGTTTCGTTTTGACACACTGCGAGCGTTGATAGCAGTGTCTCCTTTCTACACGACTGCCACTATTGATAGCAGTGTCTCGTTTTGACACACTTCCAGCGTTGATAGCAGTGTCTGCTTTTTACACGACTCCCAAAATTCATAGCAGAGTTTCGTTTGGAAACACTTCCAGCGTTGATAGCAGCGTCTCCTTCTTACACGACTCTCCCCATTCATAGCAGTGACTCGTTTTGACACACTCCCAGCGTTGATCGCAGTGTCTCCTTTTTACGCGACTCCCAATATTCATAGCAAAGTTTCGTTTTCACACACTTCCAGCGTTGATAGCAGGGTCTCGTTTTTTACACGACTCTCACTAGTGATAGAAAAGTTTCGTTTTGACACACTTCCAGCGTTGATAGCAGTGTCTCCTTTTTAGACGAATCCGAATATTGATAGCAAAGTTTTGTTTTGACACACTTCCAGCGTTGATGGCAGTGTCTCGTTTGTACACGACTTCCATTATTGATAGCAGTGGCTCGTTTTGACACACTTCCAGCGTTGATAGCAGTGTCTCTTTTTTACACGACTCCCAAAATTGATAGCAAAGTTTTGTTTGACACACTGCCAGCGTTGATAGCAGTGTCTCGTTTGATAGCTGTTATTGCAGCTACTGC